ACAAGGTCGCAAGTAGGAATTTTGTTGACGGGTTTGGAGAAAGAAAAACGAAATACAAATAATAGAAATAAACGCGATAAGGAGAATTTATATGAAAATAATATTGTGCGTGAAAATAATTTAATTTTTGAAATGGTTGGAGAGCAAGACGAGATGTTGAATGCGATGAGTATAGAACAATTGAAAGGCGAAATTATTCGTTTAAAGGAGTTAACATTGTTTCAGGGTAATCAATTGACTCAGTTACACAATCAGGTTCGAGACTTTCAGTCTAATCACACGACAAATGAAATTTTGCAGACGTTGACTGAAAGTTTCCGATCTTTTAATCTTGATATAAAACCCCCAAAATTCGTAGAAAACATGAACCCTAACCAATTTTTAAATAAGTTTGAAAAGTTTTGTACGTTAAAGCATATTACGGGAAGTCGTTTAAATTTCTTGGACGGTGTTTTTGAGGGGAGGGCGAAAGCTTGGTTCGATTCACAACGGAATGCATTTGTTAATTATGCTGATTTTAAAGAAAAATTTCTTTTAGAATTTTTCTCGATACCAATTAAAGTTAAAATTAAATCAGCATGGTTAGCAAAACGGTTTACTCCAAACAAAGATACATTACAAAAATATTTTTTAGATCAATTTAACGAAGCGCAGTATTTTTTACCAAAAATGGAAGCATACGAATTGCACTACACAATAGTGCAACAAATGCCAATTCGTGTACGGGAAACGTTAGCAACAGTAGATTTCGGGAGTTTCGATAAAATCTCACAAGCGTTATCACAATTGGACTTAACGTATAATGAAAAAATGCTCAGTCAAAAGAAAAACGTCAATCAGTTAAGTGGGGGGGATGAACAAAATAATACCGCGAATAGAAATAATTCGGAAAATAATCACAACAAAAACAAATCTCGACCTGTAGGTGTTCAATCAAATTCCCTGTATAAAGTGTGTTACTGTAAAGAGGGGGAAAATATTTCACGTATATCTCTTTCACAACCGAGACAAACAGTTCATTCAAAATCTGATTTCAATACTAATGCGTGTCAGGAAAATTATCATTCGAGTTTACCGGATATGAGAATTCCCCCGCCAGGATATTTAAATTTACAATCTAATAATACCAATTCTTTAAACTTAAACTAGGCGCGATGGCATCTCTTCAGTCGTCGCGCCCGCCTGTCTACAATTTTGATGATATAAGCAATAGTGTATGTTGTGACGAGAGTGAAAAAATTGACAAGGGATCGTATAAAATCCCACTATGTCCTCGTTTGACGTTATGTTTCTTATCTGTACCAGTACGAGCTCTCCTTGACACCGGTAGTCAAATCACGGCAATTTCCGAATCTTTTTATAACTATTTAAAATTACATGGAACTTTAACTGAATTTCCGGTGACAAATGTCAGTCTATTTACTGCAATAGGGAAGAAGCAAACAACAATTAAAAAGCAAATTTTGTGTGAGGTCCAGGTGGGAGATGAAAAATATTCGTCATATTTTTTAGTTGTTCCAAATTTGTCAAATATGGTCATTTTAGGTAACGATTGGTTCACGGAAAATGAGGCAAAGATTGATTATAAAAATTTATTGTTTATGATTCGAGATAAAAATTTTCAGTCGCCTATAGTGTCCTTTGATAAAGTCATTTCCGAAACAAAAACAACTGGTCCAGATAATGATATTATTTATGTACAATCGGTAAAACAATCTCGTGATTTAAATGTCGAGAATAATTTTGAAAAAGAAAATGATAGTGAAAAAAGGAAATTAAGAAAATGCGATGAGGTTGATTCGAATGACGTTTTGGTTGATGGTGGTTTTCTTGGTGTGAGTCTCCTTCTGAATGATATACACAGATACGATAAGACGGTAGCCGGGGTGTCTGACTCATTACGGGAGTCTATCGAGCAAACTAACACATATAGAAATTCGGATAGTGCAGATCAAAACAATGAATTGAATGAAATTAGAGATAATATAATTTACAAGACGGATTTAAATTTGGACGAATTAGAAAATAATAATTTTATAAATGAAATCAATATAATGTATGACGAAAAAGAACGCGTAGTAACAAATTCTAATGATTTTATAAAAAATGTTCATATGATTGCGGAATCATTAACCGGATTAACTAAATTAGAAAAGAATCGTTTTATTGAAATGTTATCGAAATTCGAAAAACTCTTTACTGCAAAATTAAGTAGTGCGGATGTAGAGCCGTATCGAATTAGAGTCAAGTCACATACTCAATTTATTCGAAAGACGTACCCAATACCGTTGAAGTTTCGTAATTCCACAGATAAAACCATGAATTCTATGGTAGACGCCGGAATTATAGAAAGAGCGGATTGTTCTTACTGCAGTCCATTGCGCATTATAGTAAAGAAGGACGGATCGGTTCGTGTCTGTCTCGATGCGCGATTTGTGAATGACATAATCGAGTCAGATCATGAATCTCCGCCGTTAATTGACGAATTAATGCAACAGTTTCACGGGATAAATTTCATGACACTTTCTGACCTCGCTTCGGGTTATTGGCAAATCCCTTTACATCCCGATTCTCGAAAATATACGGCATTTCTGTACAACTCGCAAATGTACCAGTTTTGTCGAATTCCGTTCGGATTAAAAACTGCAGGATCGGCATTTATGCGGGCAATCAGTATGGCGTTAGGTGACCGATTTAAAGATTTTTTGACCGTCTACGTTGATGATTTTTTAATAGCTACGCGAGGATCATTTGAGGATCATTTAAATTCTGTCGAGTCAGTCTTTACAGTTTTACAAGAGAAAAATTTCACGTTAAGTTTAACTAAATCGCTTTTTTGCAAAGATCAGGTTAACTTTCTTGGATACGAATTAACAAAAAATGGAATAAGGCCTGTTAATGATAAATTAGAATCTATTTCGAATTTTGAATGTCCAAAGAATCAAAAGCAATTACAGCAATTCTTAGGGATTTGCAATTATTACAGACAATTTACCGAGAGACATTGCGATTTAATTCACCCTTTTCGAGACCTGTTAAAAGGAAAATCAACCTGGAAATGGACGAGGATGCATGAACAAGCTTTTGTTGATATAAAAAAGGCCTTTGTTCAATGCATCAGACTCAGTCATTATATTCCAGATTCCATGTATTATCTTCAAACAGACGCATCTGACCTTGGAGTCAGTGGAATTCTTTTTCAGTATGACAGTGATGAGAACAAACGTGTTGTAGCTATGGTTAGCAGATGCCTAAATGTTGCTGAGGTGAATTACACAACCACGGAGAAAGAGCTCCTGGCAATAGTGTATTCAATCACGAAATTTAGGATGTATCTGTCCGGCCAACCGTTTGAGATCATCACTGACCATAAAAGTCTCACTTTTTTAAATACAACTCCATTTTTAACATCTCGATTGGTTCGATGGAGTATATTTTTGCAATCGTTTGATTTTAAGGTTTCGCATTGTAGGGGGAAAGAGAATGTAGTTGCCGATTTTTTAAGTAGAAATCCAAGGGGTAAATTTGAGTCGATTCAGTCGAATGATTTGTCCATTGATGTTCTTGCATGTAACGAATGTGATTATGAGAAAATAGATGTGATGTGTGAGCAAATAATCCTGAAAGATGAAATTAAACAAGAATTAAAAAATTTGTTGACATTACAAAATAATGATCCATATATCAAAAATATAATTGATAAAATTAAAGCAAATCAACATCTGGATTTTTATACTATACGAGAAGATGTGCTGTTTCGTAGAGACGCAATACTAGATTTGTGGCAAGTCGTTATCCCCAGCGAACTTGCTAACAAACTAGTTGATTGTGTTCACTCGAAACTAGGGCATCCTGGTGTGTATAAGACTATGATGTATTTGCGTCAACATTATTATTGGCGATATATGAATCGAGAGATTAAAAATTTTGTCTTGAGGTGTGATTTATGTCAAAGAGTGAAGTATAATAATGTTAAAATGGAGGGAACATTTAATATGGTCAAATCTGATGCACCTGGAGATTTAATATGCGTGGACTTTTATGGTCCTTTGCCACGATCAATTGGTGGTCTAGAGTATGTTTTTGTTGTCATGGATATGTTTTCAAAATACGTTAAGCTGTATCCGATTAAGAGGGAAAATTGTGAAACTATCTTACGTAAAATTTTTGAATCATATATTCCTGAAATGGGGACACCAAGGAGAATACTAGCGGATCATGGTACTCAGTTTACCACTCCAAAGTGGAGTACAAAATTGCGGGAGGCTGGGATACAGGTCGTGCATTCTTCCATTCGACACCCGAAAAGTAATCCTGTGGAAAGGGTTATGAGGGAGCTCGGTAGACTTTTTCGTACCTTGTGTGCTGATAAGCACACAAGGTGGGCCAAGCATATTCAGGACATTGAGTTTCTTTTGAACATCACTTCACATCATAGTACAGGTTTCGCTCCTAGTGAGTTGCATTTCAATAAAAAATCTTACGACCAGATTAGGGATATAGTTAGTTTTCCTGAGGATTCAAATTCGACTAAAGAATCAAAAATTTTGTTGGCCCGTGATAGAATACAGAAAAATTTTAATAAAGGATTGCGTACTCAAAAAACATCGTCCAGGATTGTTTTAAAAGAAAATGATTTAGTTTTACTATTGGTTCCGAAAAAATCCGATGCTTTTAAGAAAGTAACGCACAAGTTTTTTCATATTTATTACGGTCCCTATTTAATAAATAAAGATTTTGGCAATAATTCATTTCAACTCGTAGATGTGAATGATCGAACGAAGATCATTGGTAATTATAATCGAACAAGTTTGAAAAAATACTATAAGCCTGACGACAGTGACTGAGTCAATTTGACGACATAGAATGTGTGACTTGGTATTTTATAATAAATATTGTAATCGACGAAATATTTGCTATGTTGTAAAAAATGAAAAAATGTAGGAGTGTAATTATTGTCCGCTATTCAATAATTGGTATAACGAACAATAGGGGGAAAATGAAGCGATAATTAAGTATATATGTATATCTATTACTGAGATGTAACTTGGGTTGCCGGGTTGTGAATTTTGGTGGAAAATGCGCGAATTTTAATGACGTATTTAAAACTGCCTATCGGTGTCTTTGGTCTGTCGTGAAATGTGGGAAGTAGGGAGAAATTCTGGAAAATCGCTGTCGGTTCTCAGGACGATGATTTTGTGTTTCTCACTTCGTCATCGTGCCTCATTTCGGACAGCGGGGTCTGTGCCACATTCTCACGTGCCAGCCGCGGACACTGATAGGTAGGAATTCATATTTTATTTTACATTTTAAAGTTATATGTTTTGATTTATTTTTCTTTATCGGTGTTATATATATTATTTTTTTTTTTGTTATCATATTTGATAGTGTGGCGATTAAATAGTGGGCAGATTATATAATAAAGCATCGAGCAAATTCTCATCCACCAAGATTCGCAACCCAAAAATTCCTCCAAGGAAAAAAGACGAGAGAATCCAGAAACTAATTATCGTGGATTATTAATCAAATTGTCCTGAGGAGTTTCTTTGCCAATTTGACTTCTTGGATTCGAGAGTTTCAACGATTTGCTTTCAAACCCGCTGTTCTTTCCGATAAGTATTTTGTTGCACGTGACGATTTCTTTCATTCTGATTTATATCTATATATTTTATTTACAACCTGATTATTATATTTATATCAATTTATTTCTCTAAATTTGTGTATGTATGTGTATTTTATGTTTGTGTGTGTATATATTTATTTGTATTCATATTTGACTATTTGTGATAGACTCGATTTTGTTAAAGATTTTATTAATTGCTATGATTTAAATGATTTTTGTAAATGAACTGCAGTTCGCTATATTATACACTTAATTTGCAATTATTTGATCTCTAATTAAAGATTATATGCGCCAGATTAAATTTGATTTCGTTTATTTTCTCTATTAATTTATCATTCATGTCATTTTATATTTGATTCAATTGTTTTTTCGTTTATATTGTGAAATTTAAATAGTAACTAATTTTGTTAAATAATAAATTGGTTACATCATGAACACTTGAAAAATTATTCAGTTAAATATCGTCGAAATTAATTGCTCTATTAAAAGCGGTACTACGAGTAGATATAAACTTGTAAGAAAGAATTGTTATTCATTTATAATATTAAAATAAAGAAAAATTTTGTATAAAATTAAATATTTCTTTACTTCTGTTTGTTGTTGCAAGTACTTCTGTTTGTTTTTTTTACGATGCCTGCCCCCGACCAGCAAGCACTCGCTTCGCTCGTGCTGCAAATGTCGGGGCAGGCATAAAAAAAAACCTTGACTGAAAGAGAGAGAAAGAGAAAAAATCAGAGCTTCGAGAATGTCCGGTAGAGGCGCTGAAGCGAGGAGCAAAAATAAAACATGGCTGTTCGATTTGAGGATGTCAAATTGCAATATTTTTAATAAGTGAATTAATAAGCGTACTTTCGACCGTATATAAAGAAAAATGGTATACATTAGAAGGGCATAAAGTTCGAAATTCTCGCACCGCGATGATGCCCTCGGCTTCGCCTCGGGCATCATTTCCCGCGGTGCGAGAATTTCGAACTTTCTGCCCTTCTAATGTAATATACTATTTGTCTTATATCAATCGATTCTTCCATTGATGATCTTCCATTTGCATCGTCATCTTTTTCTGCGTCATTATTTATCAGCACGTGGTGAAGATCATCTTCAGTTTGAATTTTTTTTATAATTTAATAATATAATATATAATATATAATTAATAGGTTTTTATTAAATAGTTACCTAAAATATGTTATTTAAAAAAAATTTAATCAAATAAAAATACCTCTTCTGCGCGTTTTAATGACAGTGGTCGTAAAAGAACAAATTGTGTTAGGTGATCTTGGTACACCATTATGAATTTATATTTTCCATCTGTCTGTGACTGAAAATCTATCAGATCTACCTGGCATCGGCTGTTCATTCTTGTATGCAAAATTGGTTTAAAAACTAAACCGCGTTTTCGTTTTACTTTTTTCTGGTGACATATTTCACACATGGACAAGAAAATTGTTATTATTTCGCGTGTAATATTTCCGTACTTCTTGCTGGTTTCACATAGCAAACGATCTCGTCCTCCATGACCTGTTGCGATGTGTGCAGAATCCAGGATATCAAACATTTCTTCTAAAGGCACAATGAATTTCACCTCATTTTCATTACACTTAGATATCAATTTAATAATTCCTCCAACTTCTAACGCGTCATATCTATAAATTCTTCTATATTGAAGACTATTTTTTTGCTCCATTTAATTTTATGTTTAAAACATCTTTCAAAATTTCTTCAGATTTTTCTTGAGGGAACACTTTATAATTTCACGATTCAATAATTGACGAATAAAATTTATCTTTCTACTGCTGTTTAGAATTTTCGTTAGACATTATTGAAAACGTGTGCAAGATTCAAAGTCTGTACGATTACTAATTAATAATAAACAGTACATTTGAGGTATTAAGAAAATTTGTTGATATTTATTTTTGAGTCTATTGAGTGATCAGTGAGCAGAAAGAGAGAGAGAGAGAGAGAAACTATGAATTAGTGGTAAGCATGAGTGCGAGTGAGATTCAAGCAAATTACATATAGGAGCGTTACTGTCGCACTTGTAGACTATTTTATACTTGAGTATATATGGGTGACTTCATTTAAAAGGGAATATTGCTGTCCCCCACTCCAAAAATTGACTTGTAGGCTTGTTTTTGCCAATATGAAGTTTTTTCGCGGTAGTTAGTGATGTAATAAATTTATTCTCCAAGTTTGATACCAATTGACAAAATAGAAAACGAGATAACCCATTAGAAACAGGCAAAAATAGGCAGAAATGACATTACTGTCCCTGTCCCTGGGCTACTTCTGTAAGTTTCAAACGTTAATACTGTTCTCACATGTTCACTGAAGCTTGAAAAAAAATTCTGATGGCTTTGTCTACCCTCTAGTCTGATAATTCGAAGTATTTTGACAAAATTTTTCAATTTTTGTACGCAAATAAAAATCTCGAACAGATGTCCCTCGCTTTTTAAATTTCATCTTGGAAAAAACATGCTTACCTTTGAAGTCTCTTTACAATTTTTTAATCTCACGTATTGGTTTCAGAGTTAAATTTCTAAAATATTGATTTATAATTTCGAAAATAAAAAAAATTGGCTCCCTTCGGTTTACTGTTATAATTTGACAGACAGGCAGAAAAATCGGCAGAATATTTCAACTTTTTTTGTCATTGCTGTCCCGTCTGCCCAAAATTCAGGAAATGATGAAAAATAGTTAGGAATAACGAATTTTCAGGTGGATTTGCAAGCATTCTCGAATACCATTGACAGAAATATTTTAAAACACATATTTAATAAATAAAATTTAATTTTTGGCAGAATGTCATTACTGTCCCTGTCATTACTGTCCCCCATTTTTAGTATTTGGGCAATTCTACGTGAGATTTCAGTCGACTTCTTAAAATCGTCCAAAAATATTTTTTTTCTATTCTGTATTGAAAAAAAACAGACGCGTATTTTTTTATTTTTTTTGGAAGCCAAATTTGAGAGTTATAAATTTTCAAAATTTTCGGTTTTTAAATGTATATATATTTTCAATGGCAGATAACTAAAAAAATATTGCTTCTTTTCATTTTTTGATAAGAGGAAAAAAGTTTTGTTTTTGACTCTACTTTTAAATAATAAAAACAAAAAAAATTATTTTTATTTTTTATTAAAAAAATAAAAAATTTTTATAAACAAATTGATTTTTTTTAACTTTGGGTATGATAAATTTTTAATTTTTTTTATAAAAACATACCTTGAAATGCTAAAAAAGTTTTGCAAAAATTTTCAGAGTGGGCCTCACAAGTTTGATATGTTTAAATAAATAATTAAGCTGTCCGTGTAAATCATTTTTTTAAATTTACTATTCAAAATTGTCTAGAGCCTAAATATTTTATCAAATTTTCATCTCCTTTAATTTAAGACTAAGAACATGAAAATCCGATAAAATTTGTAGGCTCTAGACAATTTCGAATATTAAATTCAAAAAAATCGATTTGCACGGGCAGCTTAATTATTTATTTAAACATATCAAACTCGTCAGGCCCACTCTGAAAATTTTTGCAAAACTTTTTTAGCATTTCAAGGTATGTTTTTATAAAAAAAAATTAAAAATTTATCATACCCAAAGTTAAAAAAAATCAATTTGTTTATAAAATTTTTTTATTTTTTTAATAAAAAATGAAAATAAAAATTTTTCGTTATAATTATTCAAAAGTAGATTAAAAAACAAAACTTTTTTTCTCTTATCAAAAAATGAAAAGAAGCAATATTTTTTGAGTTATCTGACACTGAAAACATATCGACATTTAAAAACCGAAAATTTTGAAAATTTATAACTCTTAAATTTGGCTTGCAAAAATAAAATAAAAAAATACGTGTCAGTTTTTTTTCAATACAGAATAGAAAAAAAATATTTTTGGACGATTTTAAGAGGTCGACTGAAATCTCACGTAGAATTGCCCATTTATAGAGTTTGAGAGAAATTAATTGCGTAATGACTTCAGAATGTGATATCTATACGCATGTGTTCGAATTTATGTGTGTATGTGGATATCTATCAATAATTATACGTCAATATTTGAAGACGACATTATTTGTACAGTATCAAAACCGACAAAGTTGAAAAAGAACAATTTGTTCTCTCTTAAAAATTACGATAAAGTTCTCAAAAACATGCGTCAAATTTAAATTTCTTTTCTGAAAGCAAAATATTTCTTAATTGTTTATGTCTGATATGTTATTTTTTAATTTAAATTAATGTTAATTACAATAAAATAAATTCTATAATACTCGTTTGCTTTAATTTAACATAGTTCATATCCAAATGTCATTACTGTCCCTCGGTTCAGTTGATGATTTTTGCCCTCGTGATGAAAAATTTTACTGGAAAAAAGGAAAAGTTTGTTTTGTTACATCTAGTGGGAGGTTATTGAAGAGTTATCATGTAGTTTTGATTAGAAAAGTGTGGATTTTAATACTCTGGCAGAATTTTGAAAGCAGAATCTGAAGTTTTAGAGTCAATTTCTGTCTGCTTCTGTACTTTTCTACTGTTCTACTTGCATACACATAAAAAATCTGTGAAATTATTGTCTGCTCATATCTTTAAAATATGATGAATAATTATTTTGTAATATTCAAGATTATAGATTCTCAATAAAGGTTAATTTGTCAAGGTAAAAATAGGCAGAAAACACAGGTCAACAAAAAAAGACTAACATTTTTTTTATGAGATGTAGGAATGGTTTCCGATGTATTTTTGGACGCTGAACACGATCCCGACTTCCAAAATTGCCCATCACGTCAGGATTTTGAGAAAAGTGGGGGTAAAGACCCCAAAAACGCTTTTTTGAGGATTTT